TTCTTCAGGAACAGAATTTGAAGATTTTCGGGCTAGCAAAGGCTGGTTCGAAAAATTTAAGAAAAGAAGTGACATTTTAAGTGTTGTTAGGCATGGTGAAGCTGCTAGTGCTGATATGGAAGGGGCAGCAAAGTTTTTAGATGAATTTAAAGAACTGATGGAAGAAGAAAATTATCTTCCACAGCAAGTGTTCAATGTTGACGAAACTGGGCTGTTCTGGAAAAAGATGCCCAAAAGAACATTCATCACCAAGGATGAAGCCTCTTTACCTGGGCATAAACCCATGAAAGACCGTCTCACTCTATTGCTTGGTGCCAATGCTTCAGGGGATTTCCGACTGAAGCCTATGCTTGTCTACCACTCTGAAAACCCCAGGGTGTTCAAGCAACAGAAAGTGGTAAGAACAATGCTTGGAGTTTATTGGAAGTCCAACCGTAAGGCATGGGTGACAAGACAGTTCTTTAATGAATGGGCTGTTGATGTGTTTTGCCCCTCTGTCAAGAGCTACCTAACCACCAATAAACTTCCTTTAAAGGCTCTTCTCCTCATGGATAATGCTCCTGGTCATGACCCTGACCTTGCCAGAAATTTGGAGTATAAATTTGACTTTGTGAAAGTGTTGTTTTTGCCTCCAAACACTACATCACTCATACAGCCAATGGACCAGAATGTGATCAGCAACTTCAAGAAGTTGTACATGAAGAAAATGTTTAGGAGGTGTCATCAGGCAACTTCCATTGATCCTGAACTAACACTGAAACAGTTCTGGAAGACACAATTCAACGTCCTGGAGGCTGTAAAATTGATTGTGTCATCATGGCAAGAAGTCTCCAATAGAACCCTCAATTCTTCATGGAAAGCACTGTGGCCATCAGTAGTCCATGATTTTGAGGGATTTGAGGATGACACAGAGTTGGACCAGGAGATTGTGTCCATTGGTCAGTCATTGGGTCTTGAAGTGGAGGAGAAGGATGTGGAAGAGCTTGTGATGTCTCATGAGGAGGAACTTACTCCTAATGACTTGAAGGAACTGGATGAGATGTTACGGGTAGAGGCTGACAGTGGTGAGGAGGAAATTGAAAGTGATGACCATATGTCAGCTAAACAGTTGAAAGATGTGATTTACCACTGGGAGAAGTTCAGGGAACTGGCTTCAAAGCACCCAGAAGTGGAAAAAACTGAACTAACTTTGTGTCATGTTGAGGACTCAGTGGTCTCCTTCTTTAAACATAAGTTAATGGTGAGGAGGACAGATGCCCCACAGACCACAATTGACACTTTCTTCAGTAAAAGGCAGAGGGAACAAGATGCTAGCCCTCAGCCTTCCACTTCAAGAAGGAGAGAGGATGTTCATGGTGGAGAATCTGTCAGTCCAGAGGTTCCTGACATTTTCATGGAAGGTGACTCACCTTCCAAGAAGCAGTAAAATGCTTCTCCTCCACCTCCACTTCCTTCTCTTCTCCCTTCTCCTCCTGCACCTCCCACTTCAAATGCACATCATCACCATCATCCAGGAGCCTTCTACATACACACCTCAAAGTAAGTAAATTTTTCCGCCATTTTTGTTGAAGTTAGGAAATTTTCGGTGAGCTGGAACCAATTACCCAAAAACCCATTGAAACAATGGTTTCGGTTAACGAACGTTTCGGTTAACGAACGACCTTTTGGAACGGATTGAGTTCGTTAACCGAGGGGCCACTGTATTGTTATTATTATCCACTCTGTATCTGTATTTTTCTGGCTAAATAAACTGTTACAATTCAATTCAATTCTGTTACAATTCAGTGTGGGTTCCCAAGTTCCAGCATGACTATTTGTGTGTAACGCCACACGCTTAGCTACAGGGGCCAGAGGCATTTCAGATTTCGGAATTTTTTGGTTTTTATAATTTTTTTTTTTTTAATGTGTATTAGCCCACCCGGGCATAGATCACTGACCCACATTGGGGCCTGGGGGAGGGGGGGGGAAATATAATAAAAATTATACTAATAATAATAATAATTCATAGGTCTAGGTTGTGTTTCTCACTTTTGATCTTTTTTTTCATTCTTGTATTTCTTTATTATTATTATTTTATTATTATTACAGTATTATTGTTATTATTATTATTATTATTATTATTATTATTTTTATTAATATTTTTATTATTATTATTATTATTGTTATCATTATTATTTTATTTTGGTGTATTTTTATTAAAAAATTTATTTACTATGAATAATTATTATTACTATTACATTCTCGCCCAGGCTAGGATAAATAGTGGACAATTGTTATGTGTAGTATTACTGGAAAATAATATATGATTATGTTTTAAATGTATTTTTAACAAAAGCTTTCATTATTGAAAGAAGAAGAAACATGAATTGAACATACAAATTATTATAGTTTACAGTTGATGGCCCTGGACTGGTCATGGAGACATCGGGTGGTGTGATGTTCACGTGGTGTGGTAACTCGTCCTCAGGTGTTGATATGAAGGACCTCACGTGGTCATGGAGACATCGGGTGGTGTGGTGTTCACGTGGTGTGGTAACTCGTCCTTGGGTGTTGATATGAAGGACCTTAGGTGGTCATGGAGACACCGGGTGGTGTGGTGTTCATGTGGTACAGTGACTCGTCCTCGGGTGTTGATATGAAGGACCTCACGTGGTCATGGAGACATCGGGTGGTGTGGTGTTCACGTGGTGTGGTAACTTGTCCTTGGGTGTTGATATGAAGGACCTTAGGTGGTCATGGAGACACCGGGTGGTGTGGTGTTCATGTGGTACAGTGACTCGTCCTCGGGTGTTGATATGAAGGACCTCACGTGGTCATGGAGACACCGGGTGGTGTGGGGTGGTGTCACAGTACCTCGCCCTGCTGGGTGGTGTTGTGTTATCCCGTAGTCAGGTGCATAACCGTCCGGCCCTCTGTTGTTCCCAGGGTGGACGGATTAGCACCTCCTTGTCAGAAGATGGTGGCTAGTTCCCAGGGGTGCTTATCTCACTGGTGGGTCACAGCTTTCACTGGTATTGTCTAGTGCTGAAATCACTGGCTTAAACACTGTTCTTCACTGTTCAACACTGATCCCAATTCTTTCCGAAACAAAATTGTCACTTTTGATTATGCAGATATCCCGGTGGCGAGGATGTGGGGAGAGGACTTGGGGAATGGGCCGACATTGGCCAAGGGGGGCAGCCATGTAGCCAGAGCAGCGCCTAAATAGGTCTTGACCCTCAGGTCAAGGATGTAGTGCCCCTGGTCATGACGCTGATCTTCCCAGCACTTTGGAGGTACATTTGACTTTGTCAAAGTGTTGTTTTTGCCTCCCAACACTACATCAATTATGCAGCCAATGAACCAAAATGTAATCAGCAACTTCAAGAAGCTGTACATGAAGAAAATGTTCAGAAGGTGTCATCAAGCAACTACCACTGATCCTGATCTATCACTGGCACAGTTTTGGAAGACGCAGTACAACATCCTGGAGGCTGTAAAATTGATCGTGTCATCATGGCAAGAAGTCTCAGCTCAATGCCATCAGCAGTCCATGGTTTTGAGGGATTTGAGGAAGAAACGGAGTTGGACAAGGAGATTGTGTCCACTGGTCAGTCAATGAGACTAGAAGTGGAGGAGGAGGATGTTCAAGAGCTTGTGATGTCTCATGAGCAGGAGCTTTCTCCTGAAGATTTGAAACAACTGGATGAGATGATTGAAGCAGACAGTGGTGAGGAGGAAAGGGAGTGATGACCATATGTCTACTTCAGACTTAAAAGATGTCATTCACTACAGGGAGGTGTTTAGGAAACTGGCTTCAAGACACCCTTTGTGGAAACAACAAAACCTATGTTGTGTGCCATGGAGGACAAAGTGGTCTCCTTCAAGAAGCAGCTAATCAACGGGAGGAGAAATGCCATACAACAAACACTTGACAGCTTCTTATCTAAAAGGCAGCTTGAGAAAGATAATTCCCCTCGGTCTTCCTCTCCAAAAAGAAGGACAGAGGATTTTCATGTTAGAGAATCTGTCACTCCAGAGGTTTCTAACATTATTATTGAAGGTGGATCGCCTTCCAAGAAGCATTAAAATGCTTCTCTTCTCCCTTCTCCTCCACCCCCACTTTCAATTCCCTTCATCTTCCTCCTCCTCCACCTTTCAACTCAACCAGCAACATTCTACATACACACCTCAAAGTAAGTGTTAAAATATTTTATTGTTGTTATTTATTATTGTACAGTATACTGCACAGTACAGTACTGTATTTTGTTTATATTTAATGTTTTGTTAATTCTATTACCGGTATAGAGTACTTTCATGTACTTTTTAATTAATTTAAAGGGAATTCGGTGAGTTGGAACCAATATCCCACTGAAATAACAGATTCAGTTAACGAGTGACTCTGTGGAACCAATTGTGCTCGTTACGGAGGGACCACTGTACAGATTATTTAAAGATAACAACATCAGAAATTAATGACTTTTACAGGCACAGTGCAATGGGTAAAGAGAAAGTTAGGAGTCAAGGAGAGTCTTGTTTGAGTGGTCATGGTTTTGTGTGAAGGTTCGAGAACCTCAGTGAGAGTAAATGTTGAGGAATTTCAGATGAAAGTTGGGGTCCATCAAGAGTTGTTTTGAGCCCCCTCTGTTTATCATGGTGCTAGAGGTACTATCACAAAATTTTAGGACTGACCTGCCCTGGCAGTTATTTTATGTTGACGACCTTGGGTTGACAGCATATAGTATTGAAGAGGTAGTGTAAAAGTTTGAGATGGAAGATGGAACAGATTAAAAAGATATGAGAGTGAACATCCATGGTGGAATGTGGAAAATGGCTCTGTATTGCCTGTAAGAAGGATGTTGGCAGTAATTCAATAGTAGTATGCAATGTGGGTGAAAATGGGTCCAATAGGCATGACTGCCCATTTGGGACAATGTGGGTACAGTATACTAAGCCTTCAGGACACGAGGCAACAATATTTTGTACTATCGAAGAACAAAGGATAATCAATATACACTTACCGGAAGAGTCGTTTGTCTCGGACAAATCCTAAGTTTTGATAACCTAAGTGCAGGCTTATTGGTAATCTCGGTTTCCAGCACAACTTCATCTGCATCATCAGATGCCATGGCCCGTATTGCTCTCTGTACCAAGTTTGACCCAAGCGAAAGATTTCAGGTTAGACAGTCATGAGAAAAGGCATAAATTTTGAAATATGAATATGAATGCTGAAGAAGTTATTGAATGTATTTTTATATAAGAGAGAAAAAAAACTGAAATTCTGCAATAGAGATTAAAAACAAACAGAACTTTATTGTGTAGAAAACTTTAGTCTGCAGACTTACATAAAGACAAAACTGTAATTACAACAACCTCAACCTTTTGAGTTGGAGAGACAAAAACTGCCTTGAAATCCATCAAAGATCTCTCAGCTGGCAACACAACAAAGATTTAAACCAATGATCTAGTAGTCCCCAAATCCAAAGAGAACTTCCTCTCTCTCTAGAGGCAAGAAACCTACAGTGTGTTTATCTATGCACAGAAGCTTAATTTACAGTCCATAAAAACAAAATTCTATTTTGGGCTACAATGACCTTTGCCCCTAACAGCCTCTTCCTCCTTGGGGTAGGGTGCATATATAATAAACTATGTAATGATCATTGGGTAAAAGAAACTCAAATTTACAGTTCAACCAATTGCCCTAAAAAAAGGATGATGGACTTACTCTCTCCAAAAGATTAAGGAACCCAAGGAAAATCATGTATATCAGTGGACAAAACGAATTTGGCAGGTAGATAGGAGGTGGATGGGAGGGTAGGGGAGAAGGTGGAGGCTTGGAAATGTATAAATCTCCTCAAACATTCAACTTTTGTGGCATTTTGTGGTTGTTGTGGTGTTATGATTTATTTACAGCATATTGTTAGTGTAAGCTGTGCTTATCTCATTATTAAAACAGAAAAATCAATTTGTGGTGTGAAAATATTATTTTTTTTAACCACCGCCACTGTGTGTCATAGCCAAGGCTCCACCTACCTCATTCTCCTTACACCACCTCCCACCTGCCTGCCAAATTCTTTTTGTCCACAATTGTACAGTGGTGCTTGGAATCTCAAGTCAATTTTGTGATCATACAGTAAAACTCTCTAAATCAGAACTATAGAATCAAGTCCATATTAGCTTAATTTCCAGATAAAGCTTATTTACGGAGGGGGGTTATTTATTCCGGAAAACTCTGGTTTAACCAAGAAAAATCCAGATGGCAAACCGGATTGCCATCCACTACAGCCCTCTTAACTCCTGTGGACTATTTGTGACTTTGTGGACTAATTACCACGGCTTCTAAAGACAAGAAAACTTAAAAAAGAAATCAGAAGAGGATCAGAAGGAGTTTAGTTTGAAGGACAAGCTAACAGTTCTGGAAGATCATGAGATAGGTGTATCTGCAAAAGCTTTGATGAAGAAATATGACCTGAAAAACAAAAACAGCCATCAACAGCATCAGCAACTTTGTGTAAATACTGTACTGTATGTCCAGTACGTACAGTCTCATTCAAGATTCTTCGAACACTGCTGGAGACAGCTGGTAACTCAAGGCCATTTGTTTACTATGTACGTAGTATAAATTATGAATAAATGTAAAAGTGATCAGTGATTGGTTACTTAGTTCCCCGTTGCTTAATTTAATGGTTGGGCTTTGTTGTTTCGTTTTAAATTATACTACGTACTATAGTAAACAAACGGCCTTGAGTTGCCAGCTGTCTCCAGCAGTGTTTGAGGAATCTTGAACGAGACTGTACAAGAATTACAGTGGTCCCTCGATTAACGAATGGTTCGAATAACGAAATTTCAGTTAACGAATTACCTCCCATAAGGATCTTCAATTCGTTAATCTAACAAAAATTTTAGTCATTTTAAAAATTTAGTTAACATATTGATAATATATGCAGTACAGGGAACTAGTTTTTTGCGCCCATCAGCCTGCTTGAATCAGCCACCAGGCTCCAGTTTGACTTTTTGACAGTGGAGTGAACATCAATTTTGTTGGTGTCTTAAATATTTTTATGCTTTTTACATTAAAATTATTGGAAAATCTGAAATTTAGTTAACATATTGATATATAGCGTAAGTGCAGTGTTGATTTAAATAAAATAATCTTGAATTCCACCAAGTGAACTTAAAATTTTATTGGTGAAATTACTGCATCAAGCATGGGTCCTCGATAGTTTACTCCTCCACCCCACTTCTAATTCCATCATCATCATCAACCAGAACCTTCTACATACACACCTCAAAGTAAGTGTACTTTTACTGCACCTTTTTTTACTTTGTATGTACTTTTCTGTGAGCTGGAACCAATTACCCAATATCCCATAGAAACAATGGATTCGGTTAACGAATTTTCGGGTTAACGATCCAATCTTCTGGAACGAATTGTGTTAGTTAACCGAGACACCACTGTATTATTATTATTACATTTTCGCCCCCAAGGCCCTGGTGGGTCAGTGACCTGTGCCCGTGGCGAATCCCCATAAAAAAAATAAATAATAAATAAAATATAACAGACCTTTCTAGAAAACCATTTAACATTAATAGATAAAACACAAAGTTTGTGTAGAAGGCTGGCTTCCTCCACAAAGGAGAGGATGTTCTCCCCATGCTACCCATCCCCGGCACCAAAGAGAGACAGTAAAGCCCATCTATCCCCCAGCACTGGGAGAGGTGCTTACGACAAAGCTCTCTAAGACTGGGGCACTCCACCAAGAGGTGTTGAACAATCAATGGGATCAGGCAGTTATCACAATGGGGAGCAAGTGCTCTATACATTAAAAACCATGAGTCTGCCGTGTGTGGCCAATGCTGAGGTAGGCCAAAGCATTGCCAATTCAAGCGGATGGCAGCTCTTATTATTGGCTTCATATCAGAGGCAGGTAGAAGGTGAATGATGTGCCACAAGGTGAGAAGCAGCTGCTTTTGCCACATCAGCAGCACACTCATTCCCCTTTTACCCCACATGGGCCGGAACCCTGCAAAAATTGACTTTCCGGCCCCAGCGTCAGATGAGAAACACAGGTAGCTACTACTAAATATCTATAACTAAGGGATGGGGCAACATACTGACAATATATAGTGCAGTGTAGTGTTGATTTAAAGAAAATAATCTTGAATTACACGTAGTGAACTTAAAATTTTATAGGTGAAATGACGGCATCAAGCATGGGGTTTTTACCTTATATAATATCTTAGACTAAAGTTAGGAAAATATAATTTGCATTGTAGGAATCCTTGCAAGACAGTGAATAATTTGAATATAAACATCATATATTTTGCACAAGAGATAAAAATTAATCACCTGTATCACATTACAGTACAGGTTGTACCTCCTTAGTCCGGCAACCTCGGGACCTCACCGGTGCCGGACCATGGAAATTCACCCTTTTCCTGGATAGATAGTGACTTGTGCTTGTGCCTGGAAGCACTAGCACCACTTTCTCTCGTTCATGGTCTCTTTGAAGACATATTGAAGGGTTAAATGTCGATAGTAGCTTCTCAAATTTCGCAAGTTTTTAATTCTTAACGATTTTATTGGAACACAAAAAATAAATGAATAAAAATTTTGAAGGCGGAAACTTGAATTTCGACAGGTTTGAACTGCCTGCCAACGCAGACGACGCGCATAATCGTGGTAAACAGCGCCATTTCTTATGTACAAAAGATTCATTATTGTTTTTTTATTGAATTAATGTTTATGTGTGCAAAATGAGCAATAAAATTTATTAATAATACGTAGAATATTAAAACACACGAGGAAATGACACAACATTGTTTTCGTTGATTACAAAACCAGTGACTGACTGGTTCTACATATAAAACTGAAGAAAATAAGACCTTGGTTGTAGCTGTAGTAAAATTAATATTGTTGTTTTAAGTAATGTTATTTAATGTTAATAAATGGAACAATAGAAGTAGCTAACGATAATGGTAAAGAAAAAAGAGAGATCGCATATGTAAGTGCGCATGCGCACACGTGAAAACATATCATCATTACTTTACATAAGAATATGAAAGCAACACTTATTTACTGTTCATATATATTTTAATTAATGTTTCTGAATTTGTTTTTATTGAATTAATGTACGTGTGTGCAAAATTAACAATACAATTTATTAATAATACGTGGAATATTAGAGGAGACGAGACGGCTGCCGGCATTGTTTATGTTAAAGCTTATGAAACCAGTGACTGATTGGTTCTACATATAAAACTGAAGAAAATAAGACCCTGAGTTTAGCTGTAGTAAAATTAATGTAAAAAATGAATATGGTTGCTTGAAGTACCTGTAATGTTATTTAATGTTAATAAATGGAACAATATAAGTAGCTAACCATTAATGGTAAAAAAAAGTGAGACTGCTCGTATGTAAGTGCGCACATGTGAAAACATATCGTCATTACTCTACATAAGAATATGAAAGCAACACTTATTTACTGCTCATATATATTGAAGGGTTAAATGTTGTACTCTGTGTAGACAAGCAGAGAGAGAGAGAGAGAGAGAGAGCAGCCAAACTGCCGGATGTAAACAAGCCTTAATTTCCCGCGGCTTTGTTTTTTGTTTTTTTAAGGGGATTAGCCCACCCGGGCATAGGTCACTGACCCTCATTGGGGCCTGAGGAGCAAAAATTTAATACTTCTGTAATAATAATAATAATTCAGATAAGTTTAAAAAAAAACTGCCTATCTACCTATTGGACAAACTAAAATCGTTCCGGACCACAGAATGCCGGACTAGAGAGGTACAACCTGTATATATATATATATATATATATATATATATATATATATATATATATATATACATACATACATACATACATACATACATACATACATACATACATACAGTGGGGTATGCTATAACGAACGGATCCTACTACGAATATTCCTATAACGAACGGTTTTACCTATAAAATTGAGAATGCTATAACGAACGAAACTCCTACAACGAACATTATTTAAAAAAAAAAAATTTTTTTTTTTACTAATTTATTGTTTTTTTATTACAAGTATTAATGATATTGGTTATTTCAGGGGTTTAGATGCATATTTATGCACTTTTTTACAATTTTTACAATTTTATATTATATTTTTCAGTGTTAAGTGGTTGTATTTGGTGGCCTGGAACGGATTAATCCTATAACGAACGAATGCTATAACGAACAAGGTTCTAGAACCAATTAGATTCGTTATAGCATACCCCACTGTATAGTGATTTAAGGGCGATTTAGGGGAATTTTCGGAGTGTTTCTGATTGCGTTTTGGGCTTTACTTTGTATGTACTTTTCTGTGAGCTGGAACCAATTACCCAATATCCCATTGAAATAATGGATTCAATTAACGAAATTTTCGGTTAACGAACGACTCTGTGGAATGAATTGTGGGGCGAGCGTCCGCCAGCTCCAAGTAATGACACTCGACTGAGTAGTGCCCCTTGAGATGCTTATACACCTCAATTAGGTCACCCCTTGCCCGTCTGTAGTATAAGCTAGGCAAGTTCAGGCGCTTCAATCTCTCAGGGCAGTTGGGGTGCCGAAGTGCAGGCACCAGTCTGGTGGCCCTCCTTTGAACATTTTCAACCAACTGACAGTCCCTAGCATATCTCAGGGACCAGACGGGGTGACAGTACTCTAAATGGGGAAGCACTTCACTCCTGAAGATCGTTACGAGGGACGGACCGTCTAGATATCTGAACGACCTTCTTATAAGACCCAATAATTTATTTGCCTGATGTACCTTCTTCTCACAATGGCCCGAGAACTTCAGTTCATTGTCAACATACACACCTAGGTCCTCCTCACATTCAGTCTCAAATAGTGCAGTTTCTTCATCCCGTTGGGACATATGATACTCCTCCTTACCGTTGGTACGCCCCAGGTGCATCCTCTTACACTTCGTGACATTGAATCTCAGCAGCCATTTCTTGGACCATTCTTGAAGCTCACAGAGATCCTTCTGCAGCTCTTCACAGTCCGCATGGTTCTTCATTTCCCAAAATAACTTGGCGTCATCGGCAAACGTTTGTATGGAGGAGTGCACAACGTCAGGCATGTCATTTATGAAACAAACAAACAAACAACAGCGGGCCCAATACACTGCCCTGTGGTACCCCGCTTGTGACAGGTACAGATGATGATTTCATGCCATTAATCACCACACACTGCTAGTGGTCATGTAGAAAGTCTTCTATCACCGCAAGAACATTTCCCCGAATTCCGTACCATTCCAGTTTGATTTTCAGCCTTTCGTGGGATACACTGTCGAGAGCCTTGGCAAAATCTAGGTATATATATTGTCAATATTACCACCCCGTTCCAGAATATGGGTCCAAATATGCAATACCTTGACCAATTGTGTTAAGCAGGAGAGCCCCGCCATAAACCGCGTTGGCAATCCTTTACAAGGTTGTTTCGTAGATGTTTCGTCGTGGCATCTCTGATAATACTCTCAAGTACTTTACATATTATGCTGGTCAGGCTCACCGGTCTATAGTTGTTCGGGGAGTGACGATCGCCCTTCTTGAAGATAGGACTCACATAAGCCACTTTCCAATTACTGGGAACCTTTTGTTCATCAAGGCATTTACAAAACAGGATCTTTAGGGGCTCGGCAAGTTCGTTGCACAATTCTCTTAGCACTCTAGGATGCACCATGTCAGGGCTGGGACTCTTATGGACCCTTAGCTTTGAGAGTATATTTCTAATACCCTCTTCTGTGAACACAATGTGGGTCAGTGCTGTCTGTCCTCAAACACGGGAAGGTTAATCGCATCCTCTCTTGTGAACACCGAGGAAAAAAAGCTGTACAATGTCTCAGCTTTATCCTGTCAGAATCTGCATAACTACCATCTTCAAGCCTCAGGTCTGATACTCCTACTCACGTTTTTCATTTTGACTTTGCATAGTGGTAAACCGCCTTTGGGTTTGACTTGACCTCGCTTGCAACGAGCTTCTGGAACTCCTATTCAGCCCTTCTACACTCTGCCTTTGTTTGGTTTCTGGCTCTTGCATACATCCTCCTGTCCTGCTCATCGTTTGACCCAACCCACGTCTTGAATTTCTGGGTTTTCTTCTTAACTTTGTTGACCGCCGCATGGTTCATGTGTAGGGATCCCCTCGTATTCCTAGAGGCACTGGGTTTGGTCTTGGGTATATATTTATCGATCAAATGGGTCACTCTACTAGTTATGATATTCAGCGTAGTGTCTGCGTTCTTGTGCCTTAATGAATCTGGCAAGTTGATACCCCTCATCTCTTCCCTCATCCCATTGTAATATTTGCACCTTGGGCTGGCTTTATCTTGAACTAGGTAACAGTTAATTGTGAATGACAACACTATATGGTGGCTGGTGCCAACTGGGGCAAGGTGTTTCAGTTTAACCACCATATCTTCCTCGTTTGTTATGATGAGGTCTAGTGGCTTGGGTGTTTGCTCCCTTCAGTAATGTGTCGGGTTTCTAACATGTTGGAATAGAAAATTATCTCTCAGAGTTTCTACAAAAAGAGTAGCAGGGTAATTGAAGTCATTTGGGGTGCACTCATTTCTCCAGTCGATGTCCCCATAGTTAAAGTCCCCCATGATAAGGAGGTGGCTAGGGTTGAGCATCGCTGCATTGTCTATTAAGGCTCTTAAGTTCCTTTGATTTAGTGGGCCATAGTTTGGGGATCTGTAGATACACCTGACAATAAGTAAGTCCCCTCCTTTTAATTTAATTTTATGCCACTTTGACTCTTCAAAAACATCCTCTCCCTGTACCCTCGCCTGGCTGGCTCTAAGGTCTTGCCTAGCACAGTTTTTTTGCAAGTTTTTTTGCATGAGGTTCGTAAATGAGTCATATCCAGCAATACTGAACTCACATTCCTCTGGGTCGATTCTCCTGTTCTTGTACAACAGTTCTACAACTCCTACTATATCAGGTTGGTGTACCTTCAGTAGTGCTTCAAACTCCTCTCTCTTATCACGGAACGTGTCAGTTTTAGTGTACATGACATTCAAGCCGGATTTTGTTCTCAGTAACATCTCTGTTCTTAGTAGTAACCCCCCATTCTCAGAAACTACAGCATTTGCTAAGTACGCTGTATTTTGCAGGGTGTGGTTAGAAATGTCATTGTTTACACGGCGCTTGCCTCCTCCCGGCTGGTAGGTGGAGCTGGTGTCACATTCCGGGTGGGGGATAGAGTGGGTGGAGGGTGCGCTGCTGCCCCCTGGCCCTGTGTCGGCACACTTGCTTCCACTATCCTCCCCCTGAATATAACCCATGTACACCCGTCCCTGTTGCTCCTCGACTCCTCCCTCCTCTGCTTCAATCCCTGCAGGAGCTTCTTATGCTGTTCCCTCTGCATTACCTCGCTCCTTGCTCAGTTTTTTGCCTGCCGAATAACCTCCCATTTCTCCTCCTCGCTCACTAGTGTGATTCTATTACCAGTGACCTTTTGATATGATGTTTAACCTTATGATCTCTTAATATTAGCCACATCTATGACCTTAAATGCATCACTTATTATATAAATGTGGTTAACATACATTCATGTCACCTACAGAGATCTTCCATACAAACATTTGCATAACCATTTCAAGTAAAAGTGACTTAAGAACCCATGACTTCCAAAACTTAACAAGTATTCATTTGCTCCATCTTGTAATACTACATCTTGCACATAAACATATACAGCACTGTACTGTACTACAGTATTATGAAAAAGTTTAAAATATTGACCTTCAGACCACGACCTTGAAAGGTTAATCAAGCAGGCCTAGAACTCTGTATGTAGCATCTACTGTACTGTGTACAGTATGTTAGTCCAACAGCCATTCACTCAAACTCCTAATACAGTATCTTGTTCACAAGATTTGGGAAGAACAGATGGATGGTCAAAGGAAAACATTATGATTTTATTCCAATGTGAGGACATAATACAGTAATTAGATTCCTGTAACTTGATATCTGACATACATTCATAGATTCCAACATTCATTGATACTCTTGACTGTTGTTTTGTATGAAGAACACTACAGATTTTTTAATTAAATGAATTATACCATATCAGGTGACAAAAAATGGTATCAACTGATTAATATAATTACACTGAGTATTTTCCAAATTATATATAATGAAGGGTTACACAGTCTCTGCACCTGTGTACATAATCTGCAGTTCTTACCTATTTTTCTCTTTCGAAACCTGTGATCAACAGCAAGCATGGCAATATATCCTCTCACTGTCACCTTCTTGTGCACATCTAACTTGCAGACAATGGCTCCAACTACCTCTCCACCGGACATAGCCTGTAAACATTAAACAAGAGATCAAATTGGTTTTAAAATTACCTGTAGTCTATAAGTTTACAATCAATCTCACTCTAAAAAAGACACTATCAAAAATTTTATACTGAATTATGCAAAACATTAGAAAAGCACTATCAGCACAATGATCCTTTATTCATATGTTGAGCACCGACATAACACAAAAATCAATAAATCAGAAGGAAAATAGGCAGAGGAACAATACAAGGTAGTAAAAATATAGAAGAGGAGTTACACTAAAGTAATCCAAAATAAATTGCAAAACACGGTATTGAGTTGCCATTTACACCTATCTTCAAGAAAACTGACTGATCTCTTAAGGCATAAGCAGGTGGAAGATCTGAAAATCTCTGCTGATGAAATGAAGGCTATCATCCTCTTAGATAATGCTCCCTCACATCTCAACATTAAAAAACTGTGTAGCAGGGATGGAAGGATCAGGTGCCAGGCATTGCCACCCAACACCACCTCTGTCATACACCTAATGGATCAAGGTGTTATTTATGCTGTACAAACGCCAATTTCTGAATGAAGTGATGGTGGTGAAAGAGACAAGCGAGATGAGGTGAAGGACACAAGAGGGCAGAGGACCCTCAGAAACTTGAAGTTATACAACTTCAGGTCCATGCTCTCTAATTTTGCTGCTCCTGCCAAAGAAGTCAAGGCAACAACCCTCATCAATGCCTGGCAGAAACTCCTTTATAACACTGATGAGGAGCATGATTTTGAGGGCTTCTCATCAGAAGACTGATGACATGGAACCCTACTCTGAGCAGGAGAGAAGGATGCTACAGTTGAGGATGCGGAGGCTTGGCTGGAGGCTGATAAGGATGATCCTGGATACCACAACTTGACAGAGGAGGAGATTGGGGACTCTGTATGTGAAGCTGCAGATGACTTTCATGATGAAGATGATGAAGAGAAGAAAGATGAACCACCTGGCAGAAGCTAGGGACTGCCTGGATGCCCTTATAGAATTTACTCATCAGAATAAAAATTACAAAAATTGGGGCCTATTACAATCACTTATGTCACTTGAGGGAACTTTTTATACAGGGCCAAAGAAGCAAGGTCACAAAAACAAAAATTGACACTTTTTTCAAGCCAAGACCCTCCAGCAGTGCCTCCTTGCCCTCACCATCAACCTCCTTGTCAGTGGAGGTCCCTCTTCATTTCCTTATTTCTGACTCAGATTCAGTGATTGCAAGTCTCTTGCCCTCAGAGGCATGTCCAGCTGGATCTGCCTTCCATTGTTTGGGGTAAGTGTACAGTACTTTGTGGACATGACTTTTTTTAATTAATTTTGATTAAAAAACAGGTATCACTTTCATAAAATTGGATACTGTACTACATTAGAGTTGTACAGTCATCCGTTGGTTATCACACCTAATTGGGACCGCGCCGAGTGCGTGATAATGAAAAAAGCAATAACAAAAGTACAGAACCTATGGGATTTATTCTAATTGGTTCCAGGCACCCAAGACCCAACCCCAATACGACCATTTAGACCCACTAAAGATATAGATAATGCTATGGTAAGTATCAGAAACACACATAGGCATGGCTAGGTTTATTACAAAGTGATGAAAAGGGTACTTTCAATACTGTAGTCCACAAAACATGTAGCTATGCTTTCTTTATTTGAGTCCCCGTCTGAGGAGTCCATTTTCTCATCGCTTCAGGACGCCTGAGTCCTCCGTTTTCTCTCAATCTTAGAGTGCACCCGAGACTTCGTTATTCCTTAGTAACGACACAGAATTTGAAATTGCAACTGGGGTTGCAATTGTTAAGGCAACTTAGATATGTCTGGTTACAGCAAATGTGTTATTGTCAATTTGTAGGTGAAAGATTTTATCCTCAATAGATGTAGGTGAAGCAAATGGGTAAAAACACCTGGAGGCAACTGCGTGATAACTAAATTCTCGGCCTGAAAAATGCGCTATAACAGCAGGTGTGCAGATTTTGATGGAGGCGTGATAACGAAAATCGCGATAACCAAGTGCGCTATAACCAAGGGATGACTGTACTCTTTTTTTTTTAAATGGCATTTATTATTTTTTTATTTATTTATTTTGTTTAAGATGGACAACCTCTTAACCTGAACACCCCTTCCCTCCAATTAGTCTGCCTTATCAAGGCGACCTTGAGACAACTTGGGATTGATTTTGTCCTGGAATCCCAGGCTGTTGAAAAAACACAAAAATGAGAAACCCTAGTTTCAACCAACCAGCCAAAGTATATACTGTACAGCAGGGATGGACTGGGACTTTCACTCAGACCGGCCCCCCCAGCCGGCAAGTGAAGTGAACCTGTTCAGCTGGGAGGTCCGGAGGGGGGGTTACGGTATGTCCCAAATAAAAAGATTTTATTCATTTACCACATAACTCATTTACTGTACATGATTATAAAATAGTCAACGTAAATTTTTGTAAAACCTAATATCTATATAATGCAACCAAATCCTGGCCACACGGTTAACCTACCTATTACCGTCTTAGCTACCGGGGATAAATTTTCAGTAATGGCAAGTGCTACTTGTGAACAGGGCTGTGCCCTTCTGAGGGCCGAGTTGGAGAGGGCCAAGGAATATATCTTGAAATCAAAAGAAGAGATATGCAAGGATGAAGGAAGAAACGAAGCAAGGAAAGCCGGTGAATGACGAAAACTCAGGCAAATGGAAGGTTGTGAGGAGAGGGACAACCAAACTAGTAGTGAAAAAACACACCAAGGATAAGACAACAACGACAACAGCAGCTAAGTGTACCAACTCTTTCAGTCCCTTGATAAATGAATTGGACGTTAGTATAGTCAGGGACAAGGCTGACAAGGAAGGTAAGAAAATCTTGATTGTTGGCGACTCACAGGTACGGTACATGGACAGAGCTTTTTGCGGTAAAGATAAAAATAGGATGAGGGTGTGTTTGCCAGGAGATGGGGTGGGGGATATAGTTGACAGGATGGACAATATCTTGTCTGGTAATGGGAACAAACCCATTATCTGCCTTAGTACAGGAGGCAATGATATTGGCCGGTGTAGGAGTGAGGAGCTTCTTGATAAGTTCAAGACAGCTATAGTACGTGTTAGGTCCAAGGGAGGGATCCCTATCATATGTGGTGTCCTGCCTAGAAGGAAAGTTGGAAATGAATGGTTGTCAAGGGCAGTTGGTGTCAACGGCTGTCTTGACGATATTGCAAGTCAATATCAGTCCCATTCTTTGACAACTGGGACAACTTCTACGGCAGAAGGGACCTTTATGCTAGGGATGGGGTGCATCTGTCTAGGGATGGAGTAGCAACCCTGGCTGGGACTCTCGAAAGGGCAGTCCAAAAGATGTCGAAGTCTTTAAACTGCTAGGGGAACACGTGAGCACGGGGGTGGAGGAGGCTGCAGTGGGAGCGGGTAAACAAAGTAAAAGGTTACAGGGAAATAGTGTTAGGAATGATGACAAAACTAAATTAGACCGCGAGTTAAAATCTAAACGCAGCAAAGGGAGGACTCGGAACACGACTAACTTAAATGTCTACTACGCGAAAAGTAGAAGTATGAGAAACAAAATGGATGATATTAGGGCCTTGGTATGTACCGAAAAAATCGATATACAGTTGACCCTCGTTAAAACGGACTAATAGGGGGGGAAGGGTGTCCGTTTTAGCCGATTGTCCGAATTAACCAATTTAGGGGTTAATATTGCATTATACAGCTATGTGTATGTTTATTTGAGTGCCCCGTCATAGGAGTCCGTTTTCTCTCACTTCAGCACTCTTGAGTCGTCCGTTTTCTCTTAATCTTAGAGTGCACCAGAGACTGTTATATCTTAGTAGTGACACAGAATTTGATATTGCAACTGGGGTTGCAATTGTTGAGGCAACTTAGGTATGTCTGATTACAGTTGGAATATTCAAGATCCATTATGAGTGATGTTTAAAGCTTCAACTGTCTTTATGGTTGGTAAAACTTGTCAAGTCTGTCAGTCTGAATGGCATGTGTGAGGCCTTGTGTTTGTACAACCGCTAAATATATAAATATATAATGCTATGATAATTATCAGAAACACATAGGCATAACGAGGTTTATTACAAAGTGATGAAAACGATACTGTACAGTGGCTAGTCCACAAAATATGTAGCCATGTCTCTTTATTTGAGTGCCCCGTCATATGAGTCCGTTTTCTCTCACTTCAGGATGCCTGAGTCGTCCGTTTTCTCTTAATCTTAGAATGCACCAGGGACTTTGTTATTTCTTAGTAGTGACACAGAATTTGAAATTGCAACCCCAATTGCAACTGGGACAATCCCAGAACCAGAAATTTGATATGGACAGTTCAGATTTCGTCCGATTTATCCGAAATCCGGATTAAAGGGGTCCGAATTAACGAGGGTCGACTGTAATAGCATTCACTGAAACATGGATCAACCTAGACTCACGTGAGTTACCTGTCAAATACCAAATTGCAGGTTACAAATTATTCCATACCGATAGGCAGATTAGGAAAGGAGGCAGAGTAGCAATCTATGTCAGGGATAATCTGAAGTGTGAAATAAATAAGGAAATAAAAACTGAGCGGAATACAGAAACAATTTGGAAAGAATTAATCGACGGTGGGGAAAAATTAATCTCAGGAGTAATATATAGACCTCCCAATCTTGATAGAGTTAATGAGCAATTTATCTGGGATGAAATGCGCAGGGCTTCCATAACAACAAAGTCTGTATAGTAGGCGACTTTAACCTTGGCCAAATAGATTGGATTGACCTTACGGGTAACTCAGAATCAGAGGATTTTCTTGAAACGATCCAGGACCATTTCCTTAAGTCAAAATATAACCGAGCCCACCCGGGGTAATAATATACTCAATTTAGTTCTGTCGAACAGAGAAAACCTCATTAGTAATGTCGAGGTAGGGAACGAACTTGCAAACAGCGATCACAAAGAAATTTGATTCCAGTTAGATTTTCAGGGCAGCCGTAAGGAAAATTCCACA